GAATCCATCATCGAAGCTTTCCTCTGGTCAGTTGACACTTGAGAACTCTGGGATCAATGTATGACCCTCAGTTTCCCCGATTCCTTCAGAATCCCAAGTCGCCTACTCAGTAAATCCGCAACATTACTAGGAACATCACCAGGGATGCCATTGACTCTGGATGTCATAATGATATCCACCGTCTCGAGCAAAGCAAACTCTGCCCTTGCAAAGAATGCATCAAACGCCACCCAGTGCTCCCACTGAGGAGTCGCTACTGGATCATCATGTTCAGAGCTGAGTTCAATGACCAGATGCCGGGGGGGACTCTGATTTCCATTCAAGAGAGGTTCAAAGAGGGACAGAATCCAGGGCACGGGAGTGTACGTGTCGGATTGATGGAGATTGACTAGCTTCAGGGTATGAAGGTTGGGGATATATCCAAGATGAACGACATTCGAAGCTAAGAACGGAACAAGGAACGAAATGAGTGAAGGAACAAGCAGCAAGCTAGTATATTACATACGTTGTCTTATGGTTCGTTGGTACAAGTCCTGCAGCTCTAGCTCACCAAGACTAGCACCAGCCTGTTGAAGCAGAGAAGCGATTCGGGGATGATCATGTTGATCATGCTGAATTCGCAATGATTGCAAACGTCCAACTTCAAATGGGCAAGAATCCTCTAGCAACCATTCTGGAAGCCTATCTGGCCCTTCAAAGTGTTGATCGACGTTTTTGACTTGTAGGAGCAGATGATTGAGTCGTATAGACCGAGGCGGCAGTGGAGTGGCGAAGTTGCCAGACCCCCAGATAGGAGCGCAGTTGAAATGTCAATGACTTCAAGGCTCTTCAAATGTTTTCGCTTGGCGCAACAGAGACACCAATTCACTGAATTCATCAATGAAGAACATCCGGAGCGTAAGTCGGGTAAATGAAGGCGCTTTGACAGCATTAGCAAGTTCTTGAGCCAAAGGGGCAGCCAGGTCCATCTGATTAGGGAGAATGATATTTCATTCAAATTGTAGAGCCGCTGAACAATTCCAGCCGTAGACATATGCAATGGAAGAGTTGCATAGCGAAAATCATTTATCTCCAAGGACCGAACATATGTGGCCAAACGTGGATTGCTATCAAAGAGTGCAAGGAGACGATCGTTTGCGTCCAGAAAATCCTGGTAGCGTTCAGCCTCATCCATTGAGTTGGGAGGGCAGAGACTAATCTTTCGGAAGATTCGACACTGCGAAGAGGCAACCCAAGCTTTTGCGACCAGCGCACAGTTGAAAAGAGTAGGTCTGTCGAGGTAGGTAGAGGTGGTTAAGGATACATTCCAACAGTTCGTTGGGAAGTGGTTCTACTGGCATTGTGGTGGCCGAGAAGCAAGATTGTGCTGATACAGCGATTGCGGGAAGGCAAAGCTGTACTTACGAAACACGTGGCGCCACGTTTACATCTGGGCGCAATTGAGGTGAAGTAACTTACTTATTTATCGCTTGAATTGGCGGAACCCCAAAAAAGATAGAAACTGGACTCGAGATTCTGCGCCAATAAATAAAATAGGAGGCAAACCGCAGGAATGCATGGGGGTGCCGCGAATCGAACGTGCAACCTTCAACTTGCTTAACCCTCAGATTGTTGCTCCCGGCTGAGCTATATCCCATAAAAAGCATCACAGTTGATAGTCTACGTATATACTGTCCATGTCGGATACGATATCTGCGTTTATTGGAATCAACAGAAAATGATAATAGCCGTGACGTTTTGCTAGAGAATCGACAGAAGATAGTAATGACCGATACGACAGCTTGCCTTCAATGATGCAGAGGCGTTAGCTTGGTGACCTAATCTCTATGAGAGTGTCGATGAAGGTAAGAACTCGCATATTACCGCGACCTCTTAGAGGGGACTGCTTTGGGTCTACGAATTAATAATTAAAACTTTCGGTTTGGAGGTCTGAAAATACTTGGAGAATGAAGCTTGAACGTTGAACGCCCTCTTGAGCTTGGATCCTGCGCCCTGAGTGGAGAATACCGAAGCGGGATATAGGATATGAATCGTCATACTAAATAGTATCTCAACGCTCAAAACGGCGACTTTGTTACCACATGCATAAGTATGCATTGCAGTGGATAAGTAGGTATCATTAGCGGTCGAGAGAGCTGCTGTCAAGCATCGGATTCCTATGTAGTAACAAAAAAAGGATACGATCAGGAAAAATTCAAAATAGATCATATAAATAAAGACACAAATAACGAACCTGTTTTTTTCGCCCAGAAAACCGATTCGAAAGACCACTGTGTTTGATAACTCGTAAACAGCTCGCGTTAAATCGCATTCAAAATGCGATCCCGTGGAGAGGCAATCGCTCTTGCTTGTTGATTTACCGTGACTGGATGAGAAAAGTGCATCGTGTAAGTCCTCATGAGGAGAGGTATTAGACGGGGGGACTGCATTGGTCTGATTATCGATTGACGGGCTTTATAGCTGAAAGGGATCTGCAGATAATGCGCCGGGATTTTACAGTGAGCTGTACGCGACGCTCCTGCTCGGATGCTGGATTTCATTCTGGAGTCGGTCAAGCGATTACTTCGCACGAGAAGGAAAGAGAACTGAGAATCTTCTCCGCTAAATTCATGTGTCTAATATGTGAGATGTGAAGTTCCTACTTGATCATGAATCATGAATGTAGCTGCCAGAGGAAACCTGCGTAGTGGGTTGTTGAGAAGTTGAAGAAGAGCAGTTGGATAGGCGCCATGTTTTGGTGCCTGCCGGATCCGGAGCGCCCAACTTGAAATAACGCGCATGCCGCTCGAAAACGTCTTCACCTCCGCCTACAACCATACCATACTTTACTAAAGACTATTCTTCTTCTCCCTGCTTCTAATCCTGTAGGATCTGGGCCAGGTTTATCTGGTGAGTTTTACCTATCTATCGAGAAATAACCTGGATTTACTTGATTGATTTTCCGTGTTCTAGACTCATCCAACCAACGATAGTTTCTACTAAGAGCTATCATGCTAAAGTTAAAGCAAATACGAAAGCTTAACCCGTCAAATGGATTGTCTTTTTCGCGACATAGCATCTCTCGACGACAAATGAGCTTAAACCCAAGCTCTACATCCTCATCATCTTCGACCGCTCCTCGAGGCCTCGGACTTCGACACACCAATCCGCCCGACTCGCACTCGCACTCTTTTCCTTCTCCTCCCAGCCTAAACTCATCTCAGCCCAACTCGGACCACGACCCAAACCCAAACTCCGACTCGGATCCAAATTCGGACTCATGGCTATCCGACGCAGAATGGGACCTCCGCACAGGTCGTACCATCGATATTCTCCAATCCAGTCTACCCGAATTCTTCGTGAACGGCTTAATGGCAAGTTGGGACTCCCAAACGGGAGAAGTGTTCCCTGCTAGAGCGTCCGACTCCATGTCCATGTCCATGATACCGCATATTCATATCCCAATACCGATCCCTTCACTAGACCATAAAAGCAAGGGTAAACAACGCGACGATCGGACACGCGAACCGATATATAGTCCTAAAATCCGTCTATCATACACCCCGCCTGCACCGTTACCTCATCCCCTTCCTCAGATGTTGCAATTGGAAGGTGTGTAGTATTTACGCTTTTTTTTTCCAAAGGTAGATCGACATAATGACTATCTCCTTCCAGGCAAACCGTTATACTTTTCCTCTGCAGTTTTCGTGCGACGTTCGTTAAATACGTTATACTCAGACCTTAAAGTGACTCTGACAAAGGTCGCTGTTTCTGTTCCAAAATCAAAAAACATGGATCCCAGCTCCAATTACCTCTCGTCCGACCCGGACCCAAACTCATCCGTGGGTCCCTCTCCTCATCCCACTCCCCACACACACCCCCATCATCGTCAAAAATCCTTTTACATCGCCCTTCGTCTCACCGGCACCTCCCGCGTCAGCGTAACCGGCAAGTCCCTCTCCCAGTGGGACGTCCGCTCGACGTACACTTTCTGCCCTTATACCGCCCAGATAGTACAACATACAGTTAATTCGATAGATCCAGCACCGCAGAAGACGGTGTATGATGCGTTGTATCAGGCGTTGGGGGCGGTCGGCATTGGTGGAGGTAAAGGGACTGGCGGGGAACCGTCGTTGGGTGCTTTTGGTCTTGAGGGAGGTAAGGGGACTGGCGCGGAGGGCCCCGTTAGGAGGTGAGGATGGGGAGGGAGGCCAAGGTGTGAATGGATGAGAGAAGAACGGCGGACGAGGGGAAGGGGAAGGATTGAGTGGTAAGGGAGGAGGGGGAAGGGGGAGTCGAAGATCGAAAACCGAAGGAAGAGTCGAGCTCGGAGCTATGCGTTGGTAAATATGGCACGATAATAACGGTATTGACAACTCACTTCCTTACTTGCTTAAAGTTATATAGTATTGTAACACTACACGATACACCCTACTCGATGTCACTTGTGATTGTTCACTTCAGACTGTTTTTGATTTCCGAGTCAAAGAGTGTACGGCTACGGAGTGAGCTTAGTCGGTTTATTATGATCATCGTTAGTATCTACGAAAGCTTTTCCAATGGGGGTACTGCCTTCTGAAGGGCCCATGTTCGATTCGCGGTACCCCCGATCTTCAATGTAGGTTTTCGCCGTTTAATTTTATCTCGGAGTTCAGCTTCCATTAGTTCTAGTTTCTTGTTCAAGCTCATCCACTTTTCTTTCACTGCCAATCAGTGACCTGAATCCTCTGAATCATTCTCTCAGCTCTCTCTCTCTCGATCTCTCTCTCTCTCTCTCTCTTGATGTACTACTACTTAACTCTCTTATTCACTTGTAAGAGTTGCTACTATAGCTCCGATACCAACGACTCCAAGCTCATGTGTCAGAGGTGATACCAAGATGAAGAGTATCAGTAGGCTGAGCCAGATGTGATGAACGAAGCGTCGAGGTTGACTTGTAAAGAAAGAGCTTGACCGCCACATATTAAACACCCAAGACGGGTGACAGGGCTAAGGGCAAATGTCTACGGGAACCTTCTAATGGGGGTATAGCTCAGCTGGGAGAGCAGCAGACTGAAGTAAACCAGACAAAATCTATCTGAATTCTGAAGGTCCCGCGTTCGATCCGCGGTACCCCCAATAAAGAATGTTGATGCGTTCTGGTTGATTTAATTTTTGTCCATTTAGCTGCTTCGAAAAACGGAGGCCACCTCACGAAAAAGTAACAGTAATCGACATAGCTTACATACCATTCCGTTGCTCCTCACTTCAATTCAATCATCTAAGAGCCCCACCAAAACTGAATTGCTTTCATCACAAGATTTTTGGAGGTGGCCTCTGTTTTCTGAAACAGGATTTTATCTTGGAGTTCAGCTTTCCACTACTACTAGTTTCTTGCTCTCAAATTTGACTGATCAGTGACATGAATCTCCCGAGTTAGATTTCTGAATCATTCTCTCTCCCATTCTTGAGTTCATAAAAATCTCGATGTGCTACTGAATTTTCTTATTCACTCACAAGAGTTGCTAAACTCAGGCCCTAATTGGCGAATTTTGAATATGATTGGATTGGCATGCGCAGGAGTGCTAACTTTCACTGTCTGACTGTCAATCAGTCCATCTCTTCCAGCATGCACATACTACCGGCGTTCAATATCATTAATCAGGAAAACTCTCGTGCAAGATCTCCTCAACCGCTTGCTCGTCATCGCCTATTAAAGCCAATATTGAATACTGCTCATCAAACGTGGCACCACGTGTTTCGTAAATACAGCTTTGCCTTCCCGCAATCAGCATCAAACCTTGCCTCCGAACCACCACAATGTCACCAGTAGAACCACTTGCCAACGAGTTAGTAGAATGCATCATTGGCCATCTTTACCTCGACAAACCTAATCTCTTCAGCTGTGCGCTGGTCGCAAAAGCTTGGGTTGCCTCTTCGCAGCGTAGAAATTTTCGACAGATTACTCTCTGCAATCCAGGAAAATTACAAGCCAAACGCTACCAGTGGGCCTACCAGGCCTTTTTTGAAGCGACTGCTCGTCTCACTGCATTAAAAATCCACGTCTAGCTCGATATGTGCGGTTCTTGATGCTATACGATTTTCACTGTGCATTGCTTATTTCTGTGACGGGAGCTGTTCAGAGGCTTTCCAATCTCAACAAAATGACATTAGTCTGGGCTGTTTGGAATCGTCTGCCTCCTTGACTGAAGGAAGCTTTGACTGATCTAGTCAAAGCACCTTCATTTACTCGACTTTCTTTCCGCATGTTTTGCACCTATGAATTGGCATCTCTCTTGAGCCAGACAACACATTTGATGAAACTCTGTCAGTCGTTGAAAGCTCTCCTCGCCGGCCCGGGTCTTTGTGCGATATTATCACTCCGCCTAAGTCCATACCACTCGATCATTTACTCGTCCAAATTAACGAAATTCTTACGGCCACGGACAAGATAGCGCTCTGAACTCTGGTGACCACTTCGGTGAAGCTCACTGACGCTTGATTCCAGATTTCCACCTTCACTGTTCTCATTGTGATCATCCGTGATTTGGAAGGAAGGAAGGTTTATTACACGGCATGTTCCAAGTGCTGAACGCCGATTCCAGAGCATCCGTGTGGCAAATACCATCATCTCTGGGGCTCCCGCTAGCCAAAAAACTTATCAGTCCGAAGACTTCTTTGCGCTGTTACTGGTTTATTTGAATAAAATCAAAAGATTGAAAGTAGTAAACTCGGAAGTTGTCATCCACCGTATACATGTTATTCGATAAGTAATGTAGAGAAAAATTTAAAAAATGAATGAGCAAGACGTGGGCAAAAAAAAATGAGAGAAAACGAGATACCAAGTACGATGGTCAATCGGTAAACGTGACACCACCTACACAGGTTTCATTCAAATCAGGCTTGACGCCAAGTTAGAGCTCGAGGAAAGGGAGCTTAATATCGCCGCCCTCAATGTGGGGGTGGTGTGCGGCGTCGCAGTGAAGCATCTGGCAGAAGGATTCACCTCCATGACCTCCGAAGCTTGAGATCTCTTTGATGATAATGATGAGCTGGTCGATAAGCTTCTGCTTCTCGCGTCTGCAGAGGAACAGGCTTCTTCCATCCTTCGGATTTCGCAGTCAATCTGGGTGCGTATATCCCAGTATGGGCTCTTTGCACCGTCTGGCGAGGGGTGGCAAGACGGGGCAGATGAGTACAGGACCGGGACCGGGATAATGATGGTCGGTGTCTGGCACACCACACGCCTTCCCAGTGAAGGGCGCAATACTCAATGGAGCCCAGGGCGCAGTCCCAATCCCGCCAATAACAGCAGCCGGAGTCCATTTGCTGTCGTCAAATCCAATTTCCTGGAATCCCTTCGGCGGAGTAGCAGAACCTGCGGTCAACCAGGAGGCATCTGTGGTGAAGGCAGTTTGCGATCCATCTTCGTATGTAACGACACCAGTAAGGATGACTCCGTCGACGGAAACAACATTGGTTGCGTTCACGGCGATGACGTTGTCGGTGTGGCTGAGGGAGACACTGTACTCGTCCAGAATGTGCCAGGAAGCACCAGAGGGGGAGCCTGCCTTCCAGGTATTGTTGCCGATATACTTTCCGTTGACCCAGACGGTATAGGCATCGTCGCTGGTAGGGGACGTAACTTAGCAAGTGCAGTGGTAGACAAGCGGAGAAGTAATGTCTTACCAGGAGATAGCAAAGGTGACACAAACCGCCTTCGATTTTCCTTTCGGGAGGTGCTTGCGGAAGGCACGCATACCAGGGATGTTGGGACCTTCTCCGGTCCAAATCCAAAGTGCGCTGGTTAGATCGAGGGGCGGGGGAGCGGCTTCCAAGTGAGATTGAACTTCCGAGCCCGTAGATGGAGCATCGGTGTCTACAAATTATCGCTGTGAGGGAACTAGTTATGCAGAAGCTGGGAGACAAGACTGACCCTGTGCATTAATGCCGCTGAGTACACCGAAGACGGTGAGTGCGCTAAAGAGAACTAGAAGGTTGTCGTCAGAACGTTCAACGGTGCTTGACAAAGAGGAGATATATTACATTTGGAGATTATCATGCTGAAAAGAGTGCTCGAAGCTAATAAAACGGGTTGGTAGTGAAGAACTAGTAGTAAGTGACTTCTTGGTTTTATACGCGGGCGCGCGCGCGGGGGCTGCCGAATGGAATTCAACGATCTGGAAGACGTGAAACAGCCTGTATGTTGAAGTACTGGAAACTCACTTACTTATTTTGGCATGGCAAGGTGATCATAGAGTGCATTTCCAAAGATTTACAGCATTTTTTGGCCGGTCGAAATTCAAGTCCGTGAGTGCGCGAGTCAAGTTTGGAGCGATGAGACTCGAGAACGACATTTGGCAGTTGGAATGAAGATGCCAGCGCGCTAGCTAGTAGAAAGATGTCAGAATAGAGCTAAGATGTTGGATTATAAAATTAGAATTGGACAGGAACATGAATGACGACAGCGTGGATGCTTTTGGGAAGAAGAGTCAGAGAAGCAATTAAGCGCCTGACTGAAGCGCCCTCATGATGGCAATTACATAACTACCGTCGTTCTTGCACTTGCTCGAACTACGACTCTGGTCTCCTTCTGTGAAGCTCTTTCTCTCTCTTTACAAGTAGTCCATCCATGAAAACCAATCCGTACCTTTGTGGAGCATTCTGACAGGCAGCAAATAGGATCTGGATTGTGGCATTCTGCGCATCTGGATCTGGATCATCAAGCAAGCTCAATGTTGATTAACCTTCAAGCTGTCTCGTCGTATTCAGAAGTGGTGTTTGGCGAATTCTGTACGTCAATCGTCACTGCCTGAAGGCTGAATACACAATATAAACAGATCATTACACTCTGTTACACTGCTAGAACGCCGAGAAAAAAACTACCCGTTTCTCTACTCCGTCTGTAGAGTCTCTTGCACTACATAAGCATAAATTGATACTTTCCGCTCTCATGTTATCGTTGCACTAACTGCTATGTACTGGCTGTTCCTCTACTCCGACATTGGAAGCTAGGAGAATCTCTCAAACGCGACATCCGATTCCCAGGACTACATTATCATATCCATTCATTCGCGGTCAGATGTACCTGAAATCATCTTGGATGCTGTCTATTAAGCATTGAACATTGGGATCCGCTCGGCATTTCGAACGTCTATGGCATTCAATTTCGTTAAAATCCATCGACAAGCCCTGGCACTCCGAGTCAGTACTCATTCCTTGTCAGCTAATATTCGTACTGCGACATTGAGGAATATGTACACTAGCTTCTGACAAGTGTCGGAAGAGCTCCACGGTTCCATTCCACCTTTCATTACTGTACAGGGAATCAAGCTCCATCGTAGACTCAGAACAGCGCTCAGGTGAATTGAGCACCTTGACAGTCTGATGCCTAACAGTACCTCGACTCGTCTAGTATCTGATTCTGCTCTGCCTTTAGTCGACAAGCCTATCATAGCAGCGCTGCGTGAGTATAAAACCATAGAATCACTTCCTAGATTTTCACCCGGTTTTACCAGCTTCAAACACTCTTTTCAGCATGATAATCTCCAAATGTAATCTATCTCCTCTTTGTCAAGCACCGTTGAACGTTCTGACGACAACCTTCTAGTTCTCTTCAGCGCACTCACCGTCTTCGGCGTACTCGGCGGCATTAATGCACAGGGTCAGTCTTGTTATCCAGCTTCTGCATAACTGGTGTCCTCACAACGATAATTTGTAGACACCGATGCTCCATCTTACGGGCTCGGAAGTTCAATCTCACTTGGAAGCCGCTCCCCCGCCCCTCGATCTCACCAACGCACTTTGGATTTGGACCGGAGAAGGTCCCAACATCCCTGGTATGCGTGCCTTCCGCAAGCACCTCCCGAAAGGAAAATCGAAGGCGGTTTGTGTCACCTTTGCTATCTCCTGGTAAGACATTACTTCTCCGCTTGTCTACCACTGCACTTGCTAATTTACGTTCCCTACTAGTGACGATGCCTATACCGTCTGGGTCAACGGAAAGTATATCGGCAACAACACCTGGAAGGCAGGCTCCCCCTCTGGTGCCTCATGGCACATTCTGGATGAGTACAGTGTCTCCCTCAGCCACACCGACAACGTCATCGCCGTGAACGCAACGAATGTTGTTTCCGTCG